TACTCAGAATTAGTTGAACTGCATATTGTGGTTTGACATAAACACCATTCATTTGTCTTGTTCTGGGCGGTCTTCAAAGCACAGCTTTTTTTCATATTGCTAAAACAATGCGACACCATGACACTTACATGAACCAAAAACTCTCTCTCCTTCTGATCCACCTCCTCACACATCTGTGCTTCTGTGCATAAATTCTCACGCAGACAGGAAAAGATTTGATAAGCATGAAGCAGCATATTTATGACACATTAAAACTTTCAAAGGATGATATCTCTATGGCTCAGGAGGACTAAACGTACCCTATTCAGAAGCATGAGATTAAATGGTCTCGTGTCTGAGAGAGGTGTACAAATCCACATGTTTGAAATTATCTCCATTTCTTCTTTGAACACAAAATGGCTTTTAACTTTTACCTTTAATATTCCTCTTCAAGCAAATGTTGTAGGCCGACTTTTTGTTTATTCCAAGCAGTCTAATGCCCAGTTTGTTGTTTTTTAATCATAACAATCATTCATTTCCCTCATTATATATTGTTATCCTCTTTATTCATTCACATCCAGAAGAGATGCTTCTCAAAGTACAGTCTGACCTCAGTTAAAGGTTAAACTCAGCAGGAAACACAAAAACAAGGCGTCCTTATTTTCCCTCACAGCGGCTATCAGAGCAGAACACCAGCCTGCTCATGCCTGAAAGAAAAAGCAGAGGAACTGTGAGGGCCATACATGCCTCTCACAGGAGGACGAAAGCAGGCCAGCGTCATGAGGTCACATCATACCTTTTTCATAAGCAATTACAGTCTCCTCTGAACAATGATAATTCCATTAGGATTGAGTGTTTCTCTGCAGCACAAACTCACAGTGACCCGAAGAGACATATGACTGAGGTGGCAGCATATTCCAAAGCATTGTGTTATGGACCTCTCAGAGACAGATAATGTGGCAGTTGTTGATGTCTATTATTTCATCTGATTCTAATCCATTTAGATCTGTTGTCACACACTCCACCCATGATATAATTCTTTTGTGGAGCCCTAAAAATGAGAAATTGGAGTGTAGTCTCCATAACAAACCATTTGTGACAATTAGGCCGAGTGCTCGTCATCACGTCTAATGCACGCTCAGGCAAACTTGGCATGTACGTTGCAATTTGTCAGAATTCACTCCCCAAGGCACTGAGCAAATGAGATGCAGGCCATGTTGTGTTAGAAGAACCCTAACAAGAACCCACAGTTATTTCTTTTCAATCCATGAACTGCTCATCATGTATGGGAAATTATAGATAAAGAGAAAGTCATTGTTTTTTTATGTTATTACCAGTGGTGTCAAGTAAAGGTGATGTTATATTTCAGTTCCTCTTCCCTTTGAAAATCTGTGATTTTTTAAATGCGAAAATAATAAATAAATAATAATATTTTTTTTTTAATACAAAACAAAAGAAAATTATGGT